TTTAGGTGATTGTTTGAATCCTCAGTTGTTAAAGACTCTTCCAGAAAATTTTGAATAATTTTAAGCTGCCAACCCAAACATTTTACTCTGACTTTTCAGTGCCTAAATCTCATTCAGGTAATGTTCTTGCTTTAAAGCAAGCAGATGAACTTACCTTAGCGTGAGAAACAGATTCTGATTCCAACAAGATGAAAGTGCTTTGAGGTGAATCAGTCCAACTGCTAAGTTCACTGGCAGTTCACTGGCAATAATCAATTTTTGAAGTGGTTTTGTGAAATGCAGATTCCAAAACCAAACAAATAACAGCGTTATGTTGAAGCTAAATCATTATCTGGCATAACATTAAATCTGGATTAGTAGTTTACTGAAAAGCAAAGTGACAAAATCATAAAGAGTACACAAACATGAAAAAAAAAGCACACACACAGAAAACACTAAGCCAAGTAGTGACAAATAAATGCAGGGTAGCACTCCAGAGAACATCCTTGGTAATGGACGAATCCGGCAAGAAAATGACTGACGGGGAGCATTTAAACTCCTGCGTACCAGAATCAGGACCAGGTGAGCCTAATTAACGGATCACATCGCTGTTATATGGGAAGCAAAACAAGAGAATCAGGAGAATGACTGACACAAGCCTATGCAAACCACACAAGTATCCATAAGACACCCCCACCAAACTCTAAGTCAGGGATGACAAGAACACTTATTTATTTTTTTCCTTAGGTACAAAATGTTCTCTTGCTGCCTAATATATCACCTACCAACTGGCGCCATGATGAAGAGGTAATCAGTGTTATTCTCTTCATCTGTCAGTGATCACAATGCTGAGCCTGATTGGTGTATATTATACATTATCTATATAGATGGCAGATATGTATGCTTCAAAATCTGGGGAAAAAAATTCAATTTAACTCAAAAATACTTTATTTAACCAAAGGGAATTAAATGTTGTCATAACTCATATCTTTCCAGGAAGGATCTCAGGTAGCAGTCAGTCATGCAGTGAATTTGAAGAGACCTCTGACTAAAGATTGTTTCTCTAATGGTGTCATGATGGTCATGACATGCCAACAGGTTGATTTCAGCACAGCAGGTAATACACGCAACTGTTGTCAAGCACTGCATTTGCTTTTGCTACTCCTCTTTAAACGTCAGTTTAGAAAGAAAAGTTGGAGTTGAGGTATGATCAATGGAGGAGGTAGAGTAGGTTAAACATCTACCATCTTCCTCAAAACCCCCTTTTTAAGTCCACCATGGTTAGTAATTCAGGCATTATTTGAGTTTTTAAGAAATCAAACATCCGCTCCCATTTGTAAAAATAATAGGTTGTTGCCACAGTTACACATCCTAACAACTGTCCGAAAGCTACAAAGTAAGAACAAATATTTTCCATTGCACAGCCTCCAAAACCAGAGGGAAAAATTTTCCAAATGACTGCACCAAAATTTCTTTTAACAAGACAAAATACAAAAAGCAAATCAGAACTAAAGTAAGAGAGTTATTTCAATATGCTGCCACCTTCAGTGGTGCAATTTTAAGAAATCCAAGTCAACAGTCTATTGTTACGTCCACCCGGGGTAACATTAAAGGAGACCACACAAAGATTTTCTGATCAAATGAAAATTTTATTTATTAAATCATACTAAAGAAATAAAACTTGAAAAAGGAATACCTGAAATAAGAAACCAAAGTAGATTAATACAAAAACACATAGATAACCAGAAATAAGCAAATGTACGACAAACCTAACAAAACCCAATCATAAGATACAAACCAAACCAAACCAAACGGGTTTTTTAGGAGGAGGGACAGGGAAAAGCCTCCCATCTACTCCATGTATGGCAGCTTTAAATGAGCAGAGCACCAATCAGGACAAAACATAACACCTGCAGAAGGTCTGTCTCCAGAACCCTACAAGGAAAAAGGGCAGAAACCCACTGCAGCCGTAACAATAGAAATTCAGTGAAGACTGGAAATGTAGAAATATCACTGTTCAAGGTTTTTACTGTGCAAAGTCAGATTATGTTCTTTTCAAGGAAAATCATGTGAATATGCAGTGTACAGAGAGACTGATATATATATTCTGAACTACAGAGCATACATTCAAACACTGGTAATAATAAATCTGTGTGAAAGCTGAGCCATGCTTCATATTTTGCATGATTCTGTATGTAGCTGGAACTCATTCAGAGCTGTCAGAATGGGTCTTTGTTTTATTTACCCAGTAATTATGAACAAAACCTACAACTGGCTATTAAAAAAGCCCAGAATCCAAATGAGAAAAAACAAAAACCACTAAAACAAACAATAATCTGTAAGCGAAGACCCACTGTGGTAATGATTAACTCAGACCATGTGGGTGGAAGATAAAAATGGATTTTCCAACTGAACATTTGAAGGAACAACAACAAATGTTTTTGCGTAAATCATTTTCAAAAATCTTACAAACAGTGTTGTAGAACACATTTATATTAAGCTGTCATAGGTGCTGATTCTTTTATTTTATTTATTTGTTTTTTCCAAAAATGCTACATTGTGTATCGTCTCTAGACACATGGAAGCTGTAAACATTATCAACCAAAATTTGTTAGTGGGGACAGAAATTAGATCACTGCTCACATTTTTTTAAATCCCGAACAGTGAGACCAGTTATTGTCATTTAAAATAAAGCATTATCTAATAAAGATCTACCATAATAACATTTTCTCTTGTGAGCAGAACAGACAACTATCTTAAACTAAAATCTTGTAAGGATGAACTTTTATTTGTTTACTTTTTAATTACATTGGTCAAGAAAATGGTTACATTTGAGTGGGTTTGTGAATTTTTGGGTTGAGACAATAACATCTAATATACAATTATAGGCTACCTATGAAAGCACAATAACTACACAGCAAAACTGGAGTGTTAAAATTTCAGGGTTAAACGTGTCAGAGTTAATTTTAACTCAGTAAGTGTATTTTTAACATTTAGCGATTTAATTGATGCCCAGTGTTGGAGTTATTTCGCAGAGTTGATTGCGTTGGTGTTGAATCAACTATGCTGGGAGATAAATAAGCTCCTCCCCTCTGCTTCAGTTTGATTTCAATCTGAACACGGCTCCATTTCTTCATCTCCTGTTCTACACGGTAAGTGTCCAACTTACTAAATATTTTTGTCCAGCACTATTACATTGACAGAGTGAGTGATTTGACTATTTCTACTAATTACCACATAATGAAAAGCAGCTGAATATGTCCATTTTGCAACAGTTTTACACAACATGTTAGCTGGTAGCTAGTAGCACTTACACCTGATATTATTATAATGGTAATTCTTACAAAACATATTTTGTCGGACCATACACTCGTAAAAAATATACTTCTACGTTTTTGCCGTTTAAAATGATAATTTTGGCCTTGTGAATGTAAGCTAACGACTATTAGCTTCCGCGGAGCGTCAACGAGCCGAAGTCACGTGACACCAATAGCAGAGTTACAGTGAGGTGAACTCTTGACCTTTACCTTATTTTGCTTTGTCTAGGTTTATCCCATGCTTAAATAAAATGCTGATCCATGTAAAGTTTGGTGACCTGCAAAAGTATGTGAAGTTGTAGGAAGTTGAAGGGCCGTTTGACTTTAATCAGTTTTATGAGAAAGGTTTGTTATTTATTCATCATCTGTGTGGCATGGGCATTATTCTTTCCAATGTATGTCTGTTTAACACATATTTTACACATTTGTGGTAAGTAAAAATTGTATTTTCATTAATATGTTTTATGCTAATCACATGATCAATATCAAGTAACTGTTAGTTTAAAAAAATCCAGCTAATTACAGAATTAGGCTCTAAATCTTGCCTTGTTTTTTCAGTCATTGAACAATTTTGCCTGCCACCTGATACCAAAGTTACATACAAAGATGCAACAGATACTGAAGTTGACGAAGAAATATTCAGTGACCTCCTTAGACAAGGCAATGTGGTACAGACAGTTTTCTGCTATGATGGTGAGATACCAAAGCAAATTAAATCAACAGTTTTACAGATTTTACCAAAGAATGTAACTGATGTCTATTGTCTCTTTCTTCAGAGTTCTCAGAATGGTCATCTGCTTCTGACTCAAGCTTCAACTCAAATGCATCAACATCAACAATACTAATGGATGAGATGCCACGCAAGAAGCAAAAAACTGAGAATTCTAATAACTCAGTGTCTGCTAAAAATGTAACAATATTTTTTGTCTGCCTCTAATCTGTTTTGTATGCCCCAGACATGTTTTGTCATATTTTGGTCATCTGCATATTGCATATTTCCTTTTTTTTTTCTTTCTTTTTTTATTGTTCATTTTATAGGTTGAAGTGTCCTACAAAGCAAGTCTGGTGGTGAAGAAATTCTGCAGGAGTATGAAACTACAGAAACCCTAAACTGATGCCACAAGAAGACAAATGGTGAACATACTGGTGGCTCACATGATTGATGAACAAGGGTATGTTTTTACACTATTAATTTATGTATAATAATTGGAAAAAAAGGTTTAATCACCAATTTAAAATCTGCTGTTAGGCACCTCCCCACAAAAGCAATCAGAGAGAAGTATGCCTTTGGATAGTGACAAAGGCATCCCTCAAGGATCCATACACCAAAAAAGGCAATGTAATGTTTTTTTGTTTGTTTGTTTTCTACAATCAATCATGCTCTTTTATTTTGTGACTCAAAACTGTAATTTTGCATTTAATTTTTGTTCTTTTTTTTAGGAGCACTTTTATGATGCAGCAAGCAGCACTGGATACATTTCATGGCGTCTTAAAACGGTCCTAAGGAAGATTCAAAGAGGATCTCTTGTGCCATCAAGTAGCACAATTACATTTCATCTGGAGGCCCAAATATACAGAGAACTGTGATTGTTGAAAAACAGCTTGATGGGAATGCCTGCCAGGAGGCCATATCTCTGCTTAACCACACCACAGACAGGTCCGTGATCTTTCAGAAGATGAGAGAGACTTTTGAGCACCGTCACAAGCTTATTAAGATGCCAGTGGAAGAAATGATATATCCTGACCACATTCCCGGGGTTCCTGGACACAAAAGGATTGGTAAGTGTTCAACTGAAGTCTTTAAATGTGGATTTTTACATTGTTATAATGGTTTGATTTCTACATGCTATTAAAGATTGATCAAGACCGTCTCCTATTCAGTGAAGAAACCTCATCCAGACTGCTGCAGAAGTGGGATGTGTTCTTCAAACCAAATGTCATCAAGGAGGCTAAGCGTTTCACTTCTCCACCTGAGTTGAGAAGTTTGGTGCAGTCAGCGGAAAGTCTTCAAAGCGATGACCTCACTAACACATCTAGTAAGTACCTGGATATATCTGAAGATAGTTGACTATTCAGAGTATTCATAAAGTTCTGATATTATAGCTGAAAACTTTTATAAATTTGTCCTCAGGCTATGACCAAGAAATGGCCTCGCTGTTACTTCTCTTACATCTTCTTCCACCGCAGGAGGACAGAAGTCTCCAAAAATCAGTGCAAGTGATGCAGATGAGAGACTTGTTGTCATTCATAAGGTAATTGAAATTTAAAATATGCAAAATTATTTGTCTATTTCATTTTATAGACATGCATAAATACAGATGTTTGAATGACAGCTTTGAAGATGTCTGGGCATACTTAAATTTATTTTTATGTCACGTATCGTAAAGCTGTATGTTTTGTTTCTAATGTTTGGTGTATATCTTTTTAATTTTAGTCATGCTGCAGTTTAGAGGAGCATCTTCGGGGACAATGGGGTCTGCAGCCATACCTCCTTGCTGTTGGGCATCAGAAAAGAAAGATTGACAGCTTCTACATCGTCATGGATAAGTGCCTCATCCCATGCCAGACAAACAGTTCTCTTGGAACATTTGATGAGCTATTCAAAGCACATTTTGTGTTTAATTTCTCTTATGATGCTGCATTGATGAATTTCTACACATTTCTGCAGACAACAGTGTATAACATTGACGTGGGCAAAATGAAGGAATCGCTCAGAGTTAGGGACGTGAGAGCAAGGCTGCTAAACCAGTCCGTTGAGCTCTCTTGTGAGTAAGTCAGGCTAAAAAATGTTGACCTGTTTTTATGTGTCAAAAACTGTATCCAAGCGGAAACATTTGATCATCATCATGCTTTCAAAATTGTTCAAAGTGAAGAAAGGCATTTAGTAAAAATCCCTGAACTTAAATTTCTTTTGATATTCAAAACTCTTATGGCATTTCTAATGAATGTTTGATCATTGTACCACAATTTAAAATGTTGGGAACACAGCTGCAAAAATAAAGTGTTCAAAATGTATGTACTTGTGTCAAGTTTTTTTTCTTAATAATTATTATAATTAATCATAATCATAAAGTAACATTTTTGGAATGAATAACACTTGAAAGTGTTAAATCAACACTAATAAAGTGGTAAATTTTTGTTCCTGGATCAGTGTTATCCAGTATATCCCACAGTGTTGAATTAACCCTGTTTTGTGAGTTAAATAAGTAACTCTGATAAAGTGTTAAAATTTTAACTATATTGAAAGTGTTAATTTAACTCTTGATGAGAGTGGACTATATAAGCACTGAAAAAGTGTTAAAATCAACTCTGTGGGAGTTAAATTAACACTGGACTTTTTGCTGTGTAGTTTGTGATTAAGCACAAAATCACACAAGACATTGAGAAAAAATATATGAGCAACATGAAACTTCAAGCAGAAAGATTTTTATGTTTTGTAATTTAGGTGAAAAAAAGACTTTAAATCTGAGGATCATTTTCTCAGTTAGTTATTTGAGGAATGTAAAAATTTAGATGAGAGGTTGACTCGTTATACCAACCTGTTACATCCAGGTTCCTGTAAAACAAAACAAATAAATCTGATTATTAATATCTACTGTATTTAGCTAAAGTAACAGGATTTGTTATGATGAAATTTTCATGATTAATTTCAGTTATTTTTGGCATTGCAGCATTTGAATTTTGAACCAATGAGCTGGGTAAAATTAACAATGACATGGTTTGTGGTTATCGGTTTCTCTCTGCTTTATATCAAATCATGTGGATAGATTTTGATCAGTCCATGCCATGTTAAACTGCACTTATTTATTTTTTAAAACAGAGAAAAGGGGCTCTATTTTTAGTTATTCTGAGTTTTGCAGTCATTTATTCTACTTGCACTCTCGCCTCCACATTCTCAGTCATACTGAGTCACAGGATGAGTTACATTTCATCAAACATTGATCAACAACCCCTCTTTTTGTTTAACTTTTTAAACTTCTTTGATTGTTTTTCAAGTTGTGAAAAACACTCGTCAGTCTTTTATGCACTTTGGAACATACATCTTTCATGAGCTTTTATTGTTAAAAGATTAATTCTTTTCTAAAGCTATATTCTCATGTGTTGAGTTTTTTAATCACATTATTAAATTATTAAATGATCAATTAATGTGATTATTAATCAGAATATTTCAATTCTACACCCCGCTTTGCTAAAATCTAAATGTAAATAAATGTGACCTGTGACTCAATCTTTATGCCAGTAATAAGGTGTAAACCCCCCCCAAAAAATACTAAAGAAATAATAAAAAGTTACACTTTTTTTCTCCTTTTTTTAATGGTACTTTTAAGAGTTGTTTTACAACCTACACCGTTTCTGACTGCTAACCTCAATGAGAAATTTGGTCAACTAAATACTTTACAGTGTTCTGACAAATATACATTACTTATTAGTATTTAAGTTTAAAGTTGACAATTTTGTTTGGGAAAGTGTTTCTTCTGCCTGAATTTGTCAATTTGTAAATATTTTACGTACTTGTATTCATTTTTAATTTGAATCTTTAAAATGACAGAATTGGTACATCACTTTATATTTCTATCTGTCTGATAACATCATTTTAAAACTATCAAATTAGATGTTATGATCAGGAATTCAGTACTTCAGCAACCTTCTCAGAGTAATTTCCTGTTGAAGTAGTCCAATAATTACTCGAGCATAATTGTTGACTGCCTCTACATATTGTATTAAAACAAATTTAAAAAGAAGGTTTTTGTGGCCTTTATTTATTAGTGACTGGACAGGAGAAAAAGGAAAAACTGCAGTAAGTGGCTCAGGGCCAGGAACTGATCTGGGGTTCACCTCTGCGTAAGTTTCACCTGTAGCCGGTCCACAAAAAGTGGTTTTACTAAAAACCACAAACCATGAGTGACAGAAAGATTTTTATTGGTATTTAATAAGGGAGGGGGGAAAGACTAAAAAGATAAAGTAATTTTGCTACAATATGTAAAGTTTTGAACACATTACATTACATAGGCTATATGGAGGCCCATCGATTAATGTGTTACATATATAAATACATTTCGCGCGAGCCTTGAGCGAGCGCTGTCCAAGGTGCTGCAGCACTGCACGTCCCCTCCCTTTCTCTCCTTTTCCTCGCGCACACACATTTTCTCTCCCTGAAAACCACGTGACCCTCCCCTCTGCCGAGTCTGCCGCGAGAGCATCATCAGACTGCACCTTTTCCTCCTCGGGAGAACGGAGGAGAGAGCGAGCCAGAGTCAGACAGACGGAGAGAGAGAGAGAGAGAGAGAGTGGAAGAGAAAGAGAGAAAGGGAGAGAGAAGGTGGGGGAGAGAGCGGGAGGCAACAACACCTTGTCATCTTCAGTAATAGTTGTGTTCCTGTCTGGTCGTTTCCCTTTTCCCCGTCTTCTCCTCTCGCGGATTCAAAATCCACCTCAAATGGGAAGGGAGATCGATGCGTCGCGCGCGGCACTGTTGCCACGGAACCACAGGATGCGCGTGAGGTAAGCGAGGATCCTTTGAACAAAAGCGGTTCTGTGGCTTTTATCCACAGAGGAAACGCGCTCCCACGTTCCAGTTGGCACAATGAACATCAGCTTTTGATTGTCCATAATGAAAAAAAAAGGGAACGGAAGTCGGAGATAATACAGGAGTTAGCAGCTAATAGGGCGCAGGTGACGATGAAGCTGAGCAACTGCCACAGGGAGTGAAAGAAAAAAAATGGAGAAGAGGTATGGCTGCAAATCGAGAATCGATAATTCAACCGCATTCATTCACCCCGTCTATCAATACCTGTGATGTCTCCGCTTTCTTTCGCTTGTTTTCAACACGGTGTGAAGCCTCCTGTTAGTGTAGTGAACGGTTATATTCGCAGTCAGTGCAGGTTGTGTCCCCCCCGCCCCATTTCTTTTTTCTTTTTTTTTCTTTTTGGTTTGGAGGCGTTCAGACGTTAGAAACTGGGATTTTGGAGCCTAATTCGATTTGAGTCATCCACCGCAGTAGCAGCGGTGGCGGGAGCTGCTCCCGTCTTTGTGATGGGGCTAACTGGAAACCAAGAAGGTGCACTGAAGCTGCTCCTTACCATAAATACCATCAATATTTTCTCCCTTAAAAATAGCAACAAAAAGTGGAGTCAAAAGGTCGTTCAGGAAAGACAGCATTTAGGGAAATATTGTTTGTGACTTGAAGCTAAGTTGCAGGTATGCCGCCTAAAAAGCCTCCTGCGGCATTATGAATCCCCCTTATGAAGATGCTGTTGGTGTGTTTGAGTTAAAGTCAAGCTTTTATTACTCATATTAATTCCGATGCGTTTACAGATTGTTCAAATGTGACTAGGCTAGCGGCTCTAAATCCATGAGAAAGTGTAATTTGAGAATAACAGGCTCAGCTTGCGTGTGTATGTGTGTGTTTTGTATGAATGTGTGTGTTGACCCTGGTTGATTGTGTCGTCTCTGTTCTCTCTGTAGGTCGCTGGAGAGAGTGATGACGCGGCAGTGAGAGACACACATACCTCAACCTGCTGGCACACACTCACATATACACGCATATTTGCCCACACACGCTTTAAGTCTTGCCCCTCGAAGACAAGGAAGAGGAGAGAGGGGGAAAAAATACTGCTATGACGGTGTCATTTCTCACCATTACCAGTGTGTGAGCTGCACACACAAGCACACACACGCACACTTGCACTCCATGGGGAGTTGCCTGCATGGGGGATAAGACCCTATCTAGGGCACAAAGATGGAGTTTGCATCCTGTTTGTCCCACATCTAACACACTAACATACTCACACACAGCTGGAGTCTCATGACTGAAATAAGGAATGAAGAGGAGACGCTGAACATCGAAAAGACAAGACAAACACCAGGCCGAGGCATCAGAAGATGTTCAAAGGGTGTTAACAGAACTGAGGGTGCTGCCGTCTGACCCCTCCCTCCCTCTCTGGAGGTTCATTGTAGCTGAGCTCTCTTTGGTTGAAAGCATTACCAAGACAGCAGGGGGGACAGGTGACAGTGTTCTACGAAGTGCCCTGCAATTGTCACCATGAGCTGTAGGCCAGAGGGAACATCCCAACTCTAGCCTCTATTTAATTTTGTGTGTGTGTGCGTGTGAGAGCGAGTGTGTGCATGAGTGTAATGGCGGTTTGCGTTTGGGCGGCAGCCCCCCTGCTCTTTCTGGGGCTGTGCCTGTGCAGCGTAGGGGGCCAGGCCCAATTGGAGGTCCTGGAGTTTGGGGGCGTATCCAGCCAGTGGGGGCGGTTTCCGGTGTGGAACGCCTGCTGCGAGAGCGTGCTGAGTTTCAGCCTGCGGACTCAGAGCCAGGAGGGCCTGCTGCTCTACCTGGATGACGAGGGCTACTGCGACTTCCTGGAGTTGCTGCTTCTCCAAGGGCACCTGCACCTACGCTTCTCCATCTTTTGTTCTGAGCCAGCTGAGCTGGAGTCAGGCGTGGCGGTGAGTGATGGGCGGTGGCATGCGGTGCGTGTCAAGCGGGACTGGAGGAACACCTCGTTGGAGGTGGATGGGCAACTGGAGGGATGGGCAGAAGTGAAGAGTAAGAGAAGAGACATGACAGTATTCAGTCACACATACATGGGCGGGTTGTCAGCAGATCTCCTCTCCTCGCCGCTACGCACCACCTCACAGTCAGTGCGGGACTACCCCGCCTTTCGTGGCTGGATCACGGCAGTGAACATCAGCGGCTTGCTGGTCACGCTGGATGGCTCAGAGGGCGTCAGGGTAACAACTGGCTGTGGGCCGGATCACCAGTGCCAGAACGGAAGGGTGTGCAGCGTAGTCAACGACCAGGGCGTCTGCAACTGCTCCGACACCGGCTACCAAGGCAATAACTGCAGCAAAGGTAAGGCCTGAAACCATGCTGACCCATCATATACATCCCATCCTTTACAGATACTGACAGACAGACGTACAGATTTATCTTAAACCACATCTGCAAATTTAACCCGGAAATTCCTTACCCTAGTTTTCTTAAAAGAGCATATTATTCACACCTTCACAGTTCTCCTGGGCTGGCATCTACAGACCAGCAGCCTTCACAAAAAGTGCTAGGCCTGCATACTGATTATGTTTTATATTGATTTCTTGCCTGCAAACGACTCCCAGCCTACGACGTTCACCCAAACTCAGATATAAAGCTCCTGCTAGGAAGGGCAATCAGTTTAGCGAGGTCTGAACTGAGATGGTGGGAACAGCTGTTAAGTGTCGCAGTAACACGGTAAAGTCTTTGAGTCAGCAGACTGAATACAGATTCCTGAAACCCAATGAAAGATCTCTCCTGGCTGGCCGGCTTTGAAGGTCTAGATTGGTGTATTTGGAAGAACACAGTTCCCATATAGGTCCACCATGGATGGGGTAGCTGGATGGTGTTGAGAAACTCTAATTGGAACCACGCTAAGAGGCTGGAAATCACCGATTGTTATATGGCTGACACCTGACTGCCTGTGTTAATGGATTTGGATTGATTTCAGATGGCCTTCAGAGCTACTATGCATAGGGTGTTGAAATGATGTGTGTAGAATCTATCACTTGCCATTAATTTTAACAGCCTCCAGCCTTTTGAGATGCTCTGTTTGCATCTGGTATAGTGTATGTTAATGTGACAGCGCTCCTATAGAAGACAGAAACAGCAAAGGATGTGTTTCATGAATGAAAAACTACTCAAAAAGGAACAATATGCTTTAATATTTAAACACCATAGAAACACGCTCGTTTAATTCTGCCAAACAAGCATTTGGTCAATATGAGCGCCAATAGGCAGGCCATTGTAATTATGGCCATTACAAAAGCAAAACATTTGCTTAATGAACTCAGCTACCTTGTTATGGCCCTCAGTGCAAATGCTTTCATTGCCACCCTGCTAAAGATGTGTGTGTTGTCAGATCTCCTTGAATTAATTGAAAACAAATCTGCATTCTTGATCAATAGCTCTAGAAACTGCTGTAAACCAAAGATACATTCCAGCTTTGCCCAAGCCATTGATTTCTTTTTCTTTTTTACTCCCTAGAATTTAATGATACAAATGCATCTGCCAAAAATGGTTGGGTTGCCTTGCAGTTTCTCCACCAGGAAAAAAAAAAAAAGACCTTATAGCACCGCTGTCAGCATCACACACATCTCTTTAGCCACCCACCGCCTCACACCTTCTCATTTAGTGGACCGTGGGATGGCCTGGGTTGCCATGGAGACAGGACTAATAAGGAGACCTCATGCCAGGAGTGTCTCTTCATCATATTTCTTTCATTTCCCCCTTCGGCGTTAGCCTCCCTTTTCTTGTTACCTGCAGGCGGTGCCCGTCTTCCCGTGACGTCAGCCGTAATGTTTCCCATCCAAATCTGCATCATCTGAACTTCTTTGTGTGTAGCGTGTACAGTTAGTGTGGGAAGCATCAAGCTTTACCAAGCAGCTTTAAAGGTAGATTTGCTGCTGCTTTGTGTTCACACGTGCAGAAATAATTAATCCACAGGGGGAGAATTAATAAAATCACACTCCAACAATTAGTCAATTAGTTGTAGAAAATGAGTCATAAAGTAGCTCAATTGTGAACTGTCAGGTAAAAAAAAAAAAAAAACACCCAAAAAAACAAGAAAATTCTTTACAGATTCAAGAATCCTAATGTATGCTTTTGATGCCTTTTTACTGTCATACATGATAAGGTATCGAGGGATGCGCAGTTTTATGATTCTCTTTGTCTATTCTGATTTTGACCAAAGTTTAAATGTCAAGGACTATAACACATAAAACTGAAAAAATGCTGCCAATTCCTTCATAAAGGTAGTTGTTTAATATCCAACATATACTTAAGAAATTACATATCAAACTGTTTGTCCCAGATCTTCATCTGGTTATTATACTCCAAGGTGCTTGGTGTTGGGTGACAAAACTGGGGGAAGTCTGAGTTGTTGATGCATTTGATGAATAGGAAAAACAGTCTGACGTTCCATATGTGATCACTGCTGATCTCAGAAAAATCGTCCAATTCCAATCCCTGGATGACTGATTCTTGCATCTCTGGAGATGTCCCAAAACATCATCTGACAAATAATCTGTACATTACTTGATTACAAAATAAGCTGTGTATTTAGCTGCTCTTGCTTTTAAAAGATGCATACCTTTTCTCTCATTCAATTGTTCATTTAACATAATTCTTTATTTTCACACACTATATGTAAAATCAAGCAAGTATTTAAAAATAATTATCAAAATATTTCAATGTATTGTAGAAGATCAAATAGTGACAAAACAGAGTATTCATTTGTTATTAATAAAGTAATTCCTGCCATAAGTGTTTGCAATCAAAGAACTTAGGCTTTCTTAAATACAGGAAGTGACTAGTTAAGCTGTGCAAAGGCTCCCTGCTGCACTGAAAATTACTCTTTATGTGCTCCAAGCCAGTCTAATCCAATCTGCTGTTTTGCTTCTCCTCAGTGACACACTCATACCTCAACAAACATATGCAGCCCAAATGTACAACCACATGTAGACACACATTGTGAGATATGCAGCCTCCAGGACCACCATTGTTCACACCACCGCTGATGTACCTGACAGCAGGGCAAGCTCTATGAGCTAAATAAGAGATGCATACATTTTACATAAAGGCTCTCAGCAGAAACATTGCCTACATGGCGCAGGCACTTGTCACTCAACAAGAGACTGCTCGTATCTATGAAGTGGAAGATATATATTCCTAGAAATGGACTCACAAATTAGCTGCCAGTGTTGTGGATAACACCTGGTACACAGATTGTTTTCCCCTCTTGGCAGTAGATCTTCTCCTCAAATGGGTCCACGGGTTGAGCAATAGTATGTTTGACATTGGGGAAAATCATATAGCTTTACAAGAGAAAAATGATACTTATGCTACCTCTTGAATAAAATTACAGAGCTGGATAAAGTATAAGAGGCTATTATTTGTGGGCTGAGTAACAGGGTCTCTCTCTTTTTTTTTTTTCCGGTGCCATTTCCATTTCCAGTGTTTGCATATTTAAGATTATAGGGACAATTCAGTATAAATGAGATTGTATAAAATGCTCAGGAGCAGTTATTTATCTACATCTTCATTTTGTAGAAATAGTTTCTTCCAGAGGCTAAAGATAACAGCTAGTGAGAAAGTAAACCTTGCCAACAACATGGAAGAAAATGGACTTAAGAAGCACTAAATTGTTTCATGCAGCAGCATTTTGGGTATTTGGACGAAAAAAAGAGAAATGGTGAAAATGTGACAGACAAGAGACAAACAACTTAGGATGGAAGAATGTCACAACTGGCTAAATGTTAGCAGCTAACAACACTAAAATAAGCATCTGTTGACAAGTCCTTGTTGTGCTGAAGAGCTTTAACAGTCCAGTTCGTGTGAACTGCACTGAATCTTCTTTAATTAAAAATCAAATGCTATTTTTCATTTGTTTATCTTAAACACGTTTTAAAGTGTTTAGCTTCCAGAGCAAAGATGTTTCTTTCTTTAAATAGCATTAAATTTAACTTTGCTTTATCTCTTCCCATTGGTACTTAAATTAAAGACTACTTTGCAGTTTTGATGAGTTTGGACTCATAATTTCAATATTTAGCTTGGATTAGATTATAATTCTTGAATAAATAATTTTAAATTTTTAAAAACACTGTTTAGAATTTCTGAAGCTTTTATGTGTGAAACACAAAATGGGAGCATTTTTAATGCTTTTTTTTGCATTAAAACCTCCTAAACTTTGACAAGTATAAAATGTGCAAAAATTGACTCAAACCTTTAATTTACTAGCTACAGAAGTGAAAGCAATTGCTTGAATTGTAATAAAGAAAGAAATCGTCTTCTGGTTTTCCCAGAAATGTTGCTAACTTCATCTAATTCTTGTTTCTTTTCGTGCTACTCGAAACCTTTTAGCAGAACCATGCTTAAAAACTACTGAACTTTCCCTCTAAGGCGTAATTCCTGTTTCAAGAAGATGGAAAAAAGACAATTGATAGTTTGGAAACAATAATTCAAGTCCATGTTATGAAAGTACAGTAACTTGTGAGCAATAGCCCAGGAAACAATCAGAGTGCTATTGAACTGAAAGCATTTCTGAGCAATTTAGCAAAAAGATAAACCTTTGAGAAAAGGGTGCAGTACTCTTTAAAGTGTTTGCAGTTCTTCTCCCATACCCAGTTGATTCATGTTTCTCATTTTCTTTAAATAGTTTAGAAATACAGATAGCTCAGAGAGAAGAATTTAGCAGATGATGTATTTTTGTGGACGAATTAGATTGTGCTTTAAAGTGCTTTTTATGGTCTCAAGTGTTTTTACATCAGGTCCTGCACATTCTGCAGTTCATTTTGGTCTGACAAAGATACTGCCTCAGTGTTATGCCTCCAACCGCAGTTTGTTCAGGCTGCAGCCAATATTCATGCCACTACCAAGGAGTAGCCCTAATCAACTTAGAGTATGTCTACAGTAAGAGCGAGCCGGTGTGAAGTTACCAGGAGTAAACATAGCATGTATCATGATATAACTGATTTATTTAAAACAAAAAGCAGCTAATGCAGCTGCTCCAATAATATAACATAATTAATGTGGTAAAAATGTTTTCTAAGCAACCTATTTATAAACATTTTTATGTATAAATGTGAATAAATGACTGCTAACATTTAGTTGTTGGATGAAGTGGTCATCACACAGAATATTATAAAATTTTTGCCAAATAATAAGTTAGTAAGTTGACATCAGGCAGTTAATCTGTTGAGCCTGCCGCAGCTTTAATCTTAAAACATCATTACCGCAATTATATTGATGCATGGAGCTCCTTTAGTTCCATTACTGTCTGTGTTTTTCATGACAGTGAACATTTCCAAACAGGCAAATTTGTATTTTTGTAAACAAAAGAGAAGTGTAGAGCCTTGTTGCAGGCAGCTGACTAGCAGTGGGCAGGTGGTGGAAGAGATATCATCTCTGGTCATTCCTATTGATTTGATGTCTCATCAAAAGGAGTTCAAATCACAGAAACTATGGAAACTTTTATTACCTCAGTCTACTTTGACACTGGCTACTCTGAGCTCAGAAGTGTTGACATATTTTGGATGTGCTTATTAAAAGCTTTAACAAACTTATTTTCTGGTTTCTCTTTGAAGCTTGACTTCATGATTAATTTGGCTAAGAATTATCTGAGTGCTTGGAGCCACTAGTACATTTGAAAACCAAAAAACAAGCAGAAAACTGTAAATTCCTCATTCTTGATCCCAATACACATGCAGTATCCTGAACAGGAGAGAGTACTTAATAGAAAAGACTTCCACTTGATTTCCTTTGGACCCACATCATGGGGTTTACTGCAAAAAACATGACAAGCAGCTTGACACAGGCTCTAATTTTAAATAAAGGGAACATTTTTAATTTTTAGTTGCAGTAATGACTTGACTGGAGTCTATTTTTGCTTAAATTTGAGTGCATTCAGGATTTTTATTTCTTATAATAATGATTCCATTTTATTTATTTTTCACATGCTTCAGGTAGTACCTTCTTTATATATTAAACATTTTAAATGTTAATCTGTGGGTAAATTCTGTTTTTGGGTGTTCAAAGAATTGCATAAGTGTGCTAGAACAAAATAAACTAAAGTGAGGTAAAACAGCCATTTATTTGTTGTTTAAATCATTTAAATGAATTTAGATTCAGCAATTAGTTCAAAAAGGAATTTCTTCGTGGCAGCCCTAGTTTGAGCAGGTCCGTGCCTAAATTTAATCCCTGTCTGACGCATTTTGCCCTGCAGTGAGAGCAGAATGAACCTGGCTTGTTAAGCCTGGCCTGGCTTGCATTGTCCTTGAGGGCAAACCGCTGTTAGCATGCTAATGGCTCCACCTGTTTCTGCCATGCTACTCGCAAGGGCAGAGGCAAGGAAACACTCTTCTGACCACGCAAATCAAAACACACGCACACACTTTCACACACGTAAAAAAAAACCCAAAAAAACATTGACACACACAGCCAGACCCAGCACTGAATCATGCATGCCCCTTGTCCTTTTTTGCACTGCTAATCCATCCCTACATGTTTTCCCTGCTATTTCACGTCATTATTACTGCCATAGTCAATGTTGCTGTGTTTGCGTGAAAGACAGCGAGAGTGTGAGAGGGAATGTGTGTGATTGGGTTTGTGGGTAAGTGTGTGTGCGTGTGTGTGTGTGTTGCATGCTATCTGTCGGGGTGCTCTGGGGAGAGGAAGCAGCTACAAGGTAAGTTGTGGGGTAAACGGCTCTTGAATCCAAATCTACAGGTAGGAATGTATATTGATGCCAACGCCCCTTCCCTCTCTTACTTCCACCCTCTCTTCCTACAAAATGTGGGTGCTTGTGTGTGCTGTTAAGATGAGATCTAAGGAAAGTTGTACATTTCTTTAACCTGGCTGCGTGAATATACGTCTAAGCAAACCTCAGTTTTGGCTACCAGTGAAGCATGGTATCCATCGTGACGTTTGTGTTGACTTTGCATGCACGATGCAACGGTAACCCCTGGACGGGTGTGCATGTACAGTAAGTAGCCATGGTGACCCTTGGGCTGAGCATGCATGTTAATGAATGTCTGTCTCTCTCTCTCTTCGCCTGGCCGCCACGCCCTTCCAGAGCACAGCTACACTCCAGGTACGTCACATTATCTATCTATCTATTGCACCAATTTCCTTCATGTCTTTTCTAATCTTCCCTTTCTGCCTTTTGTTCCTCATAACATCTTCTATTGTCCATACAGTAGCACTAAATAGCCAGGGTAGAAGTTAGCCAACTTGAGTATATTCTGGGTCTTGTGTTATGTACAATAAAGGGTCTTTGCTGTCATCTGGTAAGTACTACATCTCTTGTTGCAAACATCTGAAGCGGCAATCGCGTCAAGGTTACATAGACATAGACAGATAAATACTGCGCCGTGTACAACCCAGTTCATGGCTGTGTACAAACGTCTTTGTACATACCTGTTTTGTGCGTAGGATAAATAAGTGCATTCAGAATGGTTTTATTCTTACAATTTAGATGACACATATATATATGTCTATATGCACACACACACAGAGTAGTAGCCTCCTCCAGCATGCCACTGACAAACTCCTGCACCATTAAAACACATCTATGCATAAGCACTCACACACTTCATGGTCCTTTGCTGTGCTGACTGTGCTCTTGTCTTCCTTCAAGGTCTGGCAAACCTGATGGCTGGCGACCAAGGTATGGCCTCTTCTTACCTCACTTCCTGTTGTCCTCTGCTCTTCCATCACCCCCAACCTCCTTCTCCACCTCACACCCCTACATTCAAAACTCCTTGTATCCCTCCTCCATCTCATCAACACCTGGTGCGGATGGAAGTTGATTCTCTAGGCACAGAACTCAGGTCAGTCCTTCATGAGATTCTGAATAATTTCGTTATTAAAAGAGGTAGCTTAAATTAGAGATGTCTTTAACCTCTTGACCTGAGATCAGCTTTCACTATATATATATATATATATATATATATATATATATATATATATATATATATATATATATATATATATATATATATATATATATATATATAGGGAAACACATATATACATATAGATTCTAGCTGCTTTACTGGAATTAACTCCAGGTCATGGCAATGGAGCAAAAGGACATGTGACCCACTGACCCATGGATGGCGAATGGTTTGAATTGGTTTTTCCTCTTCATTTCAGTATCCCTTCTCCATATGTTGGAGTCTGACTGTAGCCATATGGTGTGTGTGTGCGTGTGCTTGAATAATGCTTAATACACATGTACATGCATGCCTCAACATAAATCAATGGCAGTTTTCGCTGCACTCCTCCATCGTGCATCAGCTTCCAGCATGTCTCTTTTTATGCCACCATTGGTGCTCAAACGGGCTCCTGATCATACGCCGGCGAGCGCATGTGATCCCGAACAGCTGTTTGCTGCGGTGTTTGTAAAAGGCAATGCTGTTGTACCCCGCAGCCTCTATCTAGTCCATTGTTTTTGAAAGTAGCCCAAAAACAAGAGCCGTAACTGGTCTGCTTTTAGAAAAGAAAAGAAAAATGTTTCTTGACAACCAGAACTCACAGTGCCACCCTTTTTTTGTTCTTTCCCTCTTTGTTCCTGCCCACTTTCCCACTGTTTGGAACACCAACTCCTCTGATTTTAGGAAAACTCAACGGTACACTCATGATTTACTTTTGTGTTTGGCTACTGGGTTGTTGTGGATGGTGAAGACATTGCTGAATGTGTTGACAGGCTCTTGACTGCACACTAAATGTGGAGCTTCTCAGCACCAGATTTTGTGTATTTGAGATAGAATTGGAATGTAACATTTTTGACAAGGTAAGGTGTTGCAGCATGTAAGTGCAAGGGTGTGTGTGTGTGTGTGTGTGTGTTTGCGTGTGCCTGCATGAGTGCAAATGAATGGAAGCTCCAGCCTACTGTGCTTTTGAAAATCTGAAGGTAGGTGCCGCTCGATCATACAGCTCTGCATGACGCTGATGAATACACTGATTGGTGCACATGAAGACAAGCCTGACCGTGACAGGCTATTGTGCTCTCTGATTGGGCAAAAGTAGACATAGTGATGGCTATGCACCATAGTGAGAAGTTGTGTTTTTTTCCCCAATGTGCTGTTTAATAGAAAAAGATTTGTTTAAAATGGCAGCTAGTTGCATCTTGATGCAAGGTCAAATAATCTCCATCCTGGGAGTTATTTCTAACTACACTTGTATCATTGTTTTTTGCTTTGGTCTGGTAAATAAAGGCCTTTGCAAAGGTATTTATACCCCTTGAACATTTTTACATTTGGTCCTGTTACAGCCGCAAACTTCTATTTACTTAATTAGGATTAATTAGACTAACACAAAGCTAGTGCATAGCTGTGAAGTGGAAGAAAAAAGACCAATGACTCCCCATTTATTTTATAAAGAAAGCAGAAAAATAGAGAATCGCATAATTTCTTAAACTCAAGCAGACTGGATTGGGAGCATCTATTAACCTAGATTATGTTTTGCTGCAGATTTAGTCTGAGCTTTGACTAGACCATTCTAACACATTAATATCCTTGTGTATAAAACTATTACATTGCAGCTCTGACTGTATGTTTAGGGTGAATCTCTGTTTAGAGATTTGTATTTAGCTCCATCCATCTTCCTATTGTCATCCCAAAAATGAAAAGCCTCTCCATAGTCTGATGGTGCCACATCCATTTTCACTATGGGTATGATGCATGCATAGTTCTGGCCTTCTTGGTTTTCTTCTATGCACTCATCTGTAACAGGACAAATCTGAAATTAACTGTAGATCTCTGCATCTCTTCCAGAGTGACCTGTTATAAACACTCCTCTTATCTGGCTCGTGACTTTAGGTGCATGGTAATTTCTTTTTGTTGGTTTGAAGTTTTCATCATCAGATGATGGATTGAACACAGCTTTGTCCTTCTATACCCCTTTCTCCTCGACCTTTCTGCGGTGTTCCTTCGCAGAAAGTTTGTTCTCAAACAAACTTTCTTTTTGATGTTTGTTCTCAAACAAAACTCACAAAACAACTGCATTTATACTTAGGATAAACTCACAAATCATGCACAATGTTTACATAAAATCCCCCCAAAATACATTAAAATTTGTAGCTGTAATTTGATGAAAGGTCAGAAAGTTCCAGGGGTGCAAATACTTTTACAAGGCAGTGTAAATAAGCTCATAATTCCAGATTCTGCCTCAAAATGTCTGCTGTGATTCATTCAGGTGGCACAGAAATTTTAATTGCTTGATCTGGCTTATGCTCAGCATTTTAAATCACCTGCTTAGGTACTGACAGGTATTAACATATGTTTGCAGCGTTATTACACAATATATTCTGTGTATCTGTTTGACGGTGCCCCTCACTATGAGCTGTGTTTGGATACTGATAGGCTAAAAGTATAGCTGTTTTATTTTCAACCTTTGAAGTTCCTGTACACGCAAAAAAGAAGGCGTGTGTTTTTGTGTGAGTGTGTTTTTTTGTTCTGCATACTGAGATGTAAAGGCTGTCAAATGGTGCCGACGGAGCCTAGCTTAGGTTAGTTCAGCGTAAAGAGGCTTTTTGAGGAGACCGCAAAGCTGAAATGAGTTTCTTTGAGGGGGTGGATGGGGTGTGCAGTGTTGAAAAGATACACAGCGTGTGTGTGTGTGCGTGTGTGGGCATTAGAAATTGAGAAAAAAGAGACAGCGCGTCTGAGCGACGACCTAAAGAAATGAATGACGGAAGGAGGGGGAGAGGGAAAGAGCGAGAGATAAAGTGAGTCGTCTTCTCGCTCCTGTGATGTAGAGCAACTGGCTGTATCTGCAAAGCGGCAGCGACGGTCCCGCCTGCCCTCCTGGTCCAGTCATTCTCCAAGGGACATCGGCCCTGATGGGGATCCGCAGACCTTTCCCCTCCCCTACAACACACAGTTATCATTCTCTCTGGAAATGATACCCACAGATCACTAATCACTTTGAGTGGGTGAAACGCAACCAATTGTGGAAGGAAGGAAGACAGAAAAGAGGCAGCCAAATTGGATTTTCATAAGTATTGAGCAGCCAAAGGAAGAAGGGGGAAATGGATTTTTTTTCAAAGTATTGAGCAGCAATAATCTGGATGGAAAATGTGCTTAAAGCCAAGTAGCAGATCTAGCCTTTTTTCCTCTTCTCTTTGCTTGGGCTAGAGCTGTGCCAGAAGAATGAGAAATTGCAGATTTTGAATTATTACACACTCACCGGTCACTTTATTAGGTACACCTTGCTAATCCATGTTCACTTTAAAAGCACTTTTTAATTTAGTTTTTGTCAGACTCTTGACTGTAGTGTGCTATGGCTATTATCATAATTTATTTTGGATTAAATTTTAGATTTGACTAAATCTGAGCTGCCACAATCTAACCATAAATACAAACGAATAAAGGAGTGAATTTTTCATTAGTGGGGAAAATTATTTTCTGTGCATCCAGGTTAAATATTTATGTAATGGATATTTACTAAAATTGCACACAAGCAACTCATAAGGTCTCTCATAAGATCTCATAAGATTTAATACCCTCCATATTTGTCTAATCTTGATTCAGTCAGAAAAATATCATTGGTATTATAAGTCTTTCAGCTTTAGTTTTCATTTCCTTGGTCTTTACCGAAACTAGGATAAAACAATGTTCATCAACAAAATCAATACTTGTTAGAACCAGATCGGTACCAGTGTAGTACCAGTTCTGAATGTATGCTTCTTGGCATACATTCAACTTGGTGTTATTCTGAGAGTGTAGTCCATACACTCCATTGCAGTTGTTGAAGATTTTTCTGATGCACATCCATGATGCCAGTCTTTGATTTGCGCTTTTTGACATAGTGAGTTATCCAGTTGGAAGAAGAAATTAAAAGATAGATAAACTGGGTGAAACGCTTAGTTTGTACCAAGGGGTCCAGTTTGAGAATATATTTCCCCAACCATTACACTATTATTACACTGAAATGTTAATACCAGGCAGGATATTTTGTTCATGCCAGTTTTGGACCCTGCAATTAAAATTAATATTGTTGCCCAATGTAGGTGAGACAGTGAATTGTAGCCTCAGTTTCCTATTTTTAACTGGCAGCAGTGACATGTAATGTGGTCGTCTGCTGCTGGAGGTCATCTGCTTCAAGGTTGGAGATGATGTACAACGTTGAAGCCCGTTTAGTCTGTTTTAATTGGAATCTAGTTCATTAGAAAGTTCGTTTGAGGAAGTGTACATGTGTAAAACTCTGATGCTGACCAGAAAAGTGAACTCTGGTCCGCCTACAAACCTGGGTCTCATTTAAGTTAAAGTGGAATTCATTCACACTGTCCTCTATTCACACACACACACACACACACACACACACACACACACACACACACACACACACACACACACACACACAAACATGACGTTGTTTACACAAACAACAATTTACTGGATATTTTCTCTTTCCAAATCAGATTTGCACATAAAAATTTTCTGGCCAGCAAAACCTGGAACAACCATGCAACTTTTAAAATGATTAAAAATCACCTTCTGGTGCTTGCTTTTAACTCCAACAAGTTGTCTCCATCACCTCTCAATGCCTAAATGCATTGATGTAATAATTCAGTCTGATGTGCTATCAGAAATTTGAACAGTTGTACCTAAGAAAGTGGCCAGCGAAATTCGAGCTTTAAGGCACAATGTCAACTTAATAATGGCTGTTTGTTTGCAGCCTGTCCAAATGTTCTCGATATCAATCCAAGAATCTATGCACAACCTAGACATGTGGTCAGCCTCTCTTGAGGTGACCTTTAAAAGTACGTGAACGGACGGACAAACACTCACACACAATAACCTTTAGAGAGAGCCTGCTGAGTGTGTGAGCTAGTGTGTGCTGGGTGTAAATATGCATGAGTAAGGCTGCCTGCACATATTCTTCATGGTCAGTGGATGAAGGCAGGAGAGGGATTGAGGCTGTGTCGGGTTGTGTGTGTGTGTGTGTGTGTGTGCGTGCGTGCGTGCGTGCGTGCGTGTGTGTGTGTGTGTTCTGGGGAGGTGGATTGTGAGTCATGATTTGTGACTCATAAAGCGTCGGCAACCAAAACGGCTCTTTTTAACACATTGTTTTGTGGCAGAAATGCACAGATGGGGGATGCACTCCACTCCATAATGGGGCACATGTTCAATGTCACACACTTTAGATTTCTCTTAGAATTATTTGCTTGAGTTTGTTTTTTCTTATTTTTGTCTTTTCCGCCACCCATGGCTTTGTCCTGGACATATGAATATCCCACAAACACAGAAAAAGCACAGATAGCCGCAGCAGACGAGCTGCACGCTGACTTCACCATATGTGGGGTTGGGAGTGGTAGCAGATGCCAAGAGAAGAACCAGTCAGTACCAGCAACGCACAGCATGTCTCCTACCTCTTACTCATCAGCATGTACAGTCCTAATAATAAATCAGCCACTGAGTATGAAACAAGTTTGACTTATTTTAATTAGTTGAACACACTTTTGACTTACTCCTGTTATAGTCTGTTGGTTTACGAAAGAACCGTAATTGAATTGGCTCTTAATGAAATTAATCTGTTTCTTTTATAGAACTTGGGGACAAAATTTATCATCATATTAGTAAAACCTGACGCTGCAATGTTACTATTGAGTTTTACGATGGCAATATTGATTTAATTTGGCCCAAATTTCCCTCACAACTTTCTTACTTCCCAGCCAGCACACCTAGGTGGGCCCCATATGGGATATAAGTGGGCAGGCAATATGGGTCCCAAAAGGGTTTGTCCACGGTTTCCATGGTGGCCCCACATGGGTTTGCCCAAGTAGATTTTAATGGGTGCTAACTGGGTTTTCAGTGGGTCCCACATGGTTAACTCACAGGCCCATCTGTGGCCCACTAGGGTGCTGTCAAGAATATTTACGTGGGTCCCAATTGGGTCTGAACTGGGCTAGAATATGGGTACCAAGTGGGTTTGTCCACGGTTTCCATGGTGGCCCCACATGGGTTTGCCCAAGTAAATTTTTATGGGTGCTAACTGGGTTTTCAGTGGGGCCCATGTGGTTAACTCACATGAGGCCCATCTGTGGCCCACTAGGGTGCTGTCAGGAATATTTACCTGGGTCCCAATTGGGTCTGAACTGGGCTAGAATATGGGTACCAAGTGGGTTTGTCCACGGTTTCCATGGTGGCCCCACATGGGTTTGCCCAAGTAGATTTTAATGGGTGCTGACTGGGTTTTCAGTGGGTCCCACATGGTTAACTCACATGAGGCCCATCTGTGGCCCACTAGGGTGCTGTCAAGAATATTTACGTGGGTCCCAATTGGGTCTGAACTGGGCTAGAATATGGGTACCAAGTGGGTTTGTCCACGGTTTCCATGGTGGCCCCACATGGGTTTGCCCAAGTAGATTTTAATGGGTGCTGACTGGGTTTTCAGTGGGTCCCACATGGTTAACTCACATGAGGCCCATCTGTGGCCCACTAGGGTGCTGTCAAGAATATTTACCTGGGTCCCAATTGGGTCTGAACTGGGCTAGAATATGGGTACCAAGTGGGTTTGTCCACGGTTTCCATGGTGGCCCCACAGGGGTTTGCCCAGGTTGATTTCAATGGGTGCTGACTGGGTTTTCAGTGGGGCCCATGTGGTTAACTCACATGAGGCCCATCTGTGGCCCACTAGGGTGCTGTCAAGAATATTTACGTGGGTCCCAATTGGGTCTGAACTGGGCTAGAATATGGGTACCAAGTGGGTTTGTCCACGGTTTCCATGGTGGCCCCACATGGGTTTGCCCAAGTAAATTTTTATGGGTGCTGACTGGGTTTTCAGTGGGGCCCATGTGGTTAACTCACATGAGGCTCATCTGTGGCCCACTAGGGTGCTGTCAGGAATATTTACCTGGGTCCCAATTGGGTCTGAACTGGGCTAGAATATGGGTACCAAGTGGGTTTGTCCACGGTTTCCATGGTGGCCCCACATGGGTTTGCCCAGGTTGATTTCAATGGGTGCTGACTGGGTTTTCAGTGGGACCCAGATGCTTAATCCTGTAGGAACAATTCCCATCTAACCTGGATGTGAATTACATTCATAGATATGCAATCTTGATCAACAATCCAAAGTCTAAATTAAAACGTGTTCAAATAAAAAAATAAAAAAAAAAGAGATGAAAAATTTATTTTGCTCAAGGCTTTTATTTAGTAATTTAAAATATTGTCAGGAGTTATTTTTTACCTCACTACAGCAATTATTAGAACTTCATTAATACTCAGGGAATGGTGCCACAAAAAGAAATCTGCAATTATTCACGACATCTTTGAAAATAACAGAAGCTAGTTTACTATAACAAACTTATAAAACAGATCTATAAATATATATCTATAGATGCACACAAATAAAGACACCTACATATTTTCCTACAGGTCTATAAATGTATACATCTAAATACTATCTATATAACTTTATACACATATATTCACATTGATACACACAATGTGAATATACACACCTATATAGATCTTTCACAATACATTTTTGTTAAACATTTTTAAAAATAACCTACATGCCATATGCATGCTTAAATTTGAAATCTCTCATACTTTACTGAAACTGTCCATCTTGAAAGACCTCCCCAACCTGAGTTTGAACTGGCAGTCTCTCTAGTCTATTTCCACTTCCACTCGGGCTCCAGTAAACCACTTCGAGAGTCTTTGCTGTATGCTTGTGTGATTCTGTAGATGGATAATTTCTTTTAAGTCCCCTGAAATAACAAGCAAAGGTAGAAATTGTATAGTGTTTCATTTTAGCACAATGTAACATTCATGAGATTTGCATCTCCCCCTTCATGGGGCAAAAATGCTTGCAGAGATATGCCATAATCAAAAGGACTCTTGAGTCATCATTATTATGTACAGAAACTATATCTTACTGTAAATTTAAAATATATCCATCTATATAAATCAACTACTAGGTTCTATCGTGGTTTTGTGGTTATTTTAATATTGTTGAAATGCAAACAATATTACCTTCAAATTTTTAAGTTCTTAACAACAGTGAAAGAATACTGTTCAAATAAAACCAAAAATTGAAGACTCAATTTTTAACCTAAAAACATTACTAAAAATAACAAACAAAAGCATAAAACAACCAAAATAAATTAACATATGTTTAAGAAAGAAAAGTGAAAAAAAAAAGTTACTCTGACAATAAAAACTGATATTTACCATACAAAACATCAAAGAGACGCAGGTCCAAGAGCTTGTTTCCAATGTTGGCCAAAAAGGTTGAACTGGACTTCCAGTTCATTGGACATGAGGAATCGCACAGCTGGTTGTATTGTGTCATCTAAGGATGCTCCTCCAATTTCTGTAGCCATGGCAACCTTAAGTACAATGACAATAACAGGACAACATTTTGTTTTTGTTCATCAGTTTGTCATTATATCACTCTTATGTGCTTAATTTCACTAACATTAATCTACCTTTTTCAAATCATTATAAAGTGATCTTCACACGCTGATCCTCTTGAAGCCTGCAAAAATATATATTTTATTAGTGCAATATAACATTTAGACTTTTCAAAAAAATAAAAAAATTAAGGCAAAACAGCCTTTGTATAGATTAACTACTGAAGCCTTATATTGCAAAACACTGAACAGTTTTGCAATTATCCTAATTTTTGTTAACGTGACAGGACTAAGACAGTAGTATTACTCTTAAGAGAAGTTTAGAAAATCACTATAAATGTAACTAATAAAGCCTAAAACATTGTACATATAAAAAAATTAGAGCTACAATTAAATATAAGTACATTTCACATAACTGCTAGCTAAATATTGCAAAAATATCAAAAAGAATTTCTTCATCTTTCAATATTTGTTTCAGGCTTGGCCACTGATTGACATGATGGGTTTCAATTTACGGACCCACATGCAGTAACCACACGTTGGATAGGGATGAGTGAGTGATTTATTTACAACAGGACAAAAATAAAATCTATTTCCCGGACATCAGCGGAAGGGTGAGGACCACTCGACCAGGTTGGCCTGAAACGAGAACTTAGTTATGACGGGCTTAGAATGAGTGATCGGAGGGGAAACAGGAACAGGCTTACTTCGGTGCGGGTCTTTCGAGGCGTGGGTGTGAGATGCCAGGTTCCTGAGAGAGGGTGTGCAGCGGTTCCGAAGGTAAATGCGAGGTGGAATGGAAGAGAGCTGGAAGCTCGAAGGGTGGAGTGGAGGCAGTGGAATCGGCGGAGCGAGCAGGCGGGTATTCACTGGGTGAGTTCTCGAATGAGGCGACAAAACCCCTAGGATCGAACAAACACAGAGACCAGGTGACTTCTAGTAGACACAGAAACATTCTCAGAAAACTGTTCACAACAGGAGAGGCCAGAGTGACTACCGGTGTATGCAACCATCTAGACCAGTAGAATCTTCAGTCAATCTAGCGTAGACTGAAGATTCTGCTGCCTCCACCTGTGCCAAGCTCCACGGGCTCCTCGCTGAAATAAGATGCGACACTCACATACACACACAGGAACCCTGACACTGATGACTACTCTAGACCAACACAATAGCGGCAGATTGAAATAAACTATGACAAACAAAACGCTTTAAAGTGTCACACAACAATTAAAAAAAGAATTTAAAAATATGAACTACAAGCCTTCATCCTATTTACAAAAAACCTTTTAGGCCCAATATACTGAAACCACATGGGCCCCATATAGTGTTCCCATTTCTGTCCCATGCCCGGTTAGCCCACGTTAATGCTGAATTGGGCCCATACATTTAACCCAATTGAGCCAAACAATATGAGTCCCATTTCGGTTAACCTTTTGAGCCTCACGCAGTTGGCCCAGATAAAACCCATGCCCTCTTATCATTACCTATATAGCCCAAAGCTAAACGATTCAATGCAGTTTTATTGAAAAAAACGACAATAATAATCTTGCATGGGTCCCAGCCAAACCAGCCTGAATCCATACATGAGACCACCCATGCATGCTGATGTGACTGTGAGAAAGATTATTAAAAGCCCAAGTACATAGAATGAAAGCACAATAGTTACTCTTTTTAAATCATACAAATGGTTTTATTGTGTCCAGACACTTTGTAACAACCTCTGCTAGCAACATAGATTCTTCAGTGAACCGATTTCATTCTGCCTCGTTGGCGCTCAAATGAACCAATGGCAGCTCAACAAATAGAATGGCGGCGGTATTTGAAAATGGTTTGGCCCACAACGCTGCGTTTGAAATCGGTCTGCACTAAATCTGCTTATTGTGTGTAGCTGTGTGTGTGTTAGCAATATCAGAAAAAGTATCACCCTAAAGAAAAGCAAAAATAACAATAACAATTAAGTCTCTTTTGGGATACTGTCGTCCGATTTGTTACGAGCAACAATTTTTTTAACAAGCGATTTAAAATCTCTCCCTAAAATTTGGTACTAGGTAAAACAGAAGAAATGTACTTACAGATTCTTTCGTAGATCAGCCAACAGGCAGACTCCGCGCCAACGGACTGATGAAGAGAACAGGCTTGATTTTGAAACCGCATATCCATCCGCGGGTCATTTTACGTTTTCCAAGAAACACAAGATTAATTTTTGAGAGTGCTACATCGGTTTAACAAATGTAAAACCGATGTAGCAAAAGTTCTCAATGTAAATAAATACATTTCGTTGTCCTCCTTATTCAAATATGTTTTGGAACTATTTTCTTCAGTGGATGTGTAAAGTGCCTACCGGTACTTCAATTCACCAACCTTTATTGGCAACGGTGCCTCAGAGCAAACAATGAACAAAAGGTAATTGGAACCAAATGAATCATTAACAGAAATGTTACGTTTTTTTATTTTTTATTTTTATTTATACTGATGACTTGGAAAATGTTTGCAAATATATGAAAAAACAGATGCTCAAAATTTTACTCTTGTCTCTCACTTGCTAATGAGTTTTGTTTATTTTCTAAACATTTTGTGATATTTTTCACAATGGTCTGATCTGAACTATTTGTCCAAATAAAAATTTAAATCTTGCTGCGAACAGGCTGCAGTAAACTCTATGGATGTCTAAACATCCAATTGATAAAAAATAATAATAAAAATAAAATAAAAAGTTATTATTATTAAAAATAAAACAAGGACTAAAGCTCAACCATGACCACTCTGTGCTTAATTTTGAGTAAGCACCAGAATATGAGTTTACGTAATATTTCAAACAGATTATTTCAAAAAAATGTTTTAAGACATTCAGACTGCAATAATAAAATGAAAAAAAAGTTAGGGGTTCAAAGTGTAGCAAGAGCAATACTGAACTGGCTTTTGCTTTGACATACAGTGAAAAGTTTGAAAGTGACAGGGTAACCACATTGTCGATTAAAATGTTCTACAATTTTGTCCCATTTAGACCATGAAAAAAAGTACTAGGGGCTACATTTTCCTGCCCAGGTCCAACCCATGTATGGTTAGCCCATGCTCATGTCATGTTAGTTTAATGTGGACAGCCCACATTGGGCTTCTCATGTGGGGCCCATGATACTGAAACCACATGGGCCCCAAATAGTGTTGCCCATTTCTGTCCCATTTCCAGTTAGCCCACATTGTTGCTGAATAGGGCCCATACATTTAGCCCAAATGGGCCAGCCCATAGGGGTCCCATTTTAGTTAACCATATGTATCCCATGAGGTTTGCCCAGATAAAACCCATGACCACTCATTACCCATATGGCCTACTACAAACCCAAGGGGGCCCACTCATGCGTACTGGCTTGGAGACTGGACTGGACTGTTCTAGCATAAAATAATAACATGAAAAAATGTTAAGGGTTCAAAGTGTGGCTAGAGCAATACTGAACTGGTTTAAAAAAATAAAGCATTGTAGAATTATTTTTAATGTTTTAATATCCTGGTCCTCTGGAAGCCTATTGTTTGTAAATGAGCCAGGCATAGATATCACACAGTGAACATGTTTTAGGTTCAAACATTAGGAAGACATGGATGTTCTGTTCTATCAGCAAAATATATCCTTGGGTGATCTCCAAGACGAGGTCACCTTCGTCCTGGAGACCTCGACAATGGTCAAGGTCACCAACCTTTACTATCGTCGAGGTTTCCTACAAGGAAAAAATTAAATTCTACAATTTACCTTACATCAACTCCATTAGAGGCCAGCTGAGTAACAATTGCCTTGGCAAAGACTATAAAGCTGACATCTCGGGTAATTCTTTCCAAGTTTTGAGAATCTTGCTCTTGCAGCTTGCTTTGACATACAGTCAAAATTTTGAAAGTGACAGGTTAACTACAGGGGTTGGACAATGAAACTGAAACACCTGGTTTTAGACCACAATAACTTATTAGCGTGGTGTAGGGCCTCCTTTTGAGGCCAATACAGCATCAATTCGTCTTGGACAAGTATGGGGCCAAGGGAATGCCATGATATGGCAGCCCACACCATCAATGATCCACCCCATGCTTCACTCTGGCATACAACACTCTGGCTGGAATGCATCTTTGGGCTTCTCCACACCGTAACTCTCCCGGATGTGGGGAAAACAGTAAAGGTAGACTCATCAGAGAACAATACATGTTTCACATTGTCCACAGCACAAGATTTTCGCTCCTTGCACCATTGAAACCGACGTTTGGCATTGATACGAGTGACCAAAAGTTTGGCTATAGCAGCCCGGCTGTGTATATTGACCATGTGGAGCTCCCGACGGACAGTTTTGGTGGAAACAGGAGAGTTGAGGTGCACATTTAATTCTACCGTGATTTGGGCACCGTGGTTTTATGTTTTTGGGATACAATCCAGGTTAGCACCCAAACATCTCTTTAAGACAGCTTCATCTTGCATCCACAGTTAATCCTGTTAGATGTGGTTCGTCATTCTTGGTGGTATGCTGACATTACCCTGGATACTGTGGCTCTTGATAATCACAAAGACTTGCTGTCTTGGTGAACAATTTGCCCTCTTTTGAACTCCAGTATGTCCCAAATAATGTTATGTGCATTGCAATATTTTGAGCAAAACTGTGCTCTTACCCTGCTAATTGGACCTTCACACTCTGCTCTTACTGTTGCAATGTGCAATTCATGAAGATTGGCCACCAGGCTAGTCCAATTCAGGCATGAAACCTCCCACACTAAAATGAGAGGTGTTTCAGTTTCATTGTCCAACCCCTGTACATTGTTCTACAATTTTGTCTCATTTAGCCCACTTAAAAAAGGACTGGGGTCTACATATCCACACCCAGGTCCAACCTGGGCGTGGATATGTACTGACCACACTGAACCCACAGTGGGTTCAGTGTGGTCAGCCCACATGGTCTCCCCATGTTGGGCCCATGACATGAGCCCATGCTGATGTCATGTGGGTTCAGTGTGGTCTGCCCACATGGTCTCCCCATGTTGGGCCCATGATACTGAAACCACATGGGCCCCACATAGTTTTGCCCAGTTCTATCCCATTCCCAGTTAGCCCACTTAAAAAAGGACTGGGGCCTACATATCCACACCCAGGTCTAACCCATATATGGTCAGCGCATGCTGATGTCATGTGGGTTCAATGTGGTCTGCCCACATGGGCTTCCCATGTTGGGCCCATGATACTGAAACCACATGGGCCCCA